TAGTCTCTTATAACAATACAAAAGTAGGATCCAGTGGTGTGAAGGGGGAAGAGACTTATCTACTAGATGGACATACTGACAAGTGAGGAAACTGAATTAAAGGTCTACTGGCCTGGATAAAAGCAGGGTGGATGGCTTTGCCTTCCCAAATTTATGCTGGGTTCCCTCTCTTTAGTAATGGCCTTGCTTTGTTTTAAATACAGAATTAACACCTATAATTAACAAACATAAGCTATGAAAAGCACCCAGAGAAGATACTTGGTTCATAGATTTCATAGACATTAGGACTGGAAGGGGCCTCAGAAGATCATCGAGTCCAGCCCCCTGCCCCCGGGGCAGGAAGTCAGCTGGGGTCAAAGGATCCCAGCAAGATAGGCATCCAAATGTTTCTTAAAAGAGTCCAGAGTAGGTGCTTGCACCACCTCTGGAGGGTGTCTATTCCAGGCCTTGGTGGCTCAGACAGAAAATAAGTTTTTCCTTATGTCCAGCCTAAAACAGTCTTGGAGGAGTTTGTGACCTTATCATCCCTTGGGGCGCTCTGGTGAACAGACATTCCCCCAGATCCTGACATACACCCCTTCTATACTTATAGGCAGCCACCAGGTCACTCCTGAGCCTGTGCTTTTCTAGGCTGAAGAGTCCCATGGCTCTCAGCCTCTCATCATAAGGTCTGTTCTCTTGTCCTTTGATCATGCACGTGAGTCTCCTCTGGACTCTCTCAAGCTTTTCTACATCCTTTTTAAATTGGGGAGCCCAGAGTTGGATGCAGTACTCCAGCTATAGCTTCACCAAGGCTGAGCACAGCGAGAGGATGACATCCTGAGATTCGCTTGAGAAGCATCTATGGATGCAAGCCAGAGGTTTGTTCACTTTACCAGCTGCGACATTACATTGGTGGCTCATGTTCATTTTGCGGTCGATCATGACCGCCAAGTCCCTTTCGGCCATGGTGCTAGCGAGTGTAGCAATGCTGAGCCTATAACCATTATGCAGGTTTTTTTCCCCAAGGTGGAGTACCTTGCATTTTTCCATATTGAATGTCATCAGGTTTTTATCCACCCACTTTCTAAGCCTGTCAAGGTCAGCCTGGATCACCAGCCTATCCTCAGGTGTGGACGCTTTACCTCAAAGTGGGTGTCATCCGCGAACTTGGCCAGTCTGCTTGTAACACCAATATCCACATTGTTAATAAAGATGTTAAAGAGTACAGGTTCAAGGACGGAGCCTTGGGGGACACCACTGGTCATGGAGCACCATAATGATTCACTTCCATCGATTACCACTCTCTTGGTCCAACTTCAGAGCCAGTTCCCCAGCCAGTGGACTGTGATGTAGCCGAGGACACAGTTGGCCAATTTTTCCATGAGGAGATTATGGGGCACTAGATCAAAGGCTTTTCAAAAGTTCAGATATATGACATCAATCTCTTCTCCCTTGTCCAGGTGATAGGTCACCTGGTCATAGAAGGAAAGGAGATTGGTCAGGTAAGACCTACCCTCAACAAACCCATGCTGGCTGTCCCTCAGGATGTTGCCATCAGCCAGTTTGTCAAGAATGGTCTCTTTGATAATTTTTTCCAAAATCTTTTTAGGGATTGAGGTCAAGCTAATTGGCCTGGATTGGCCTGTAGATCTCCGGATCTACTTTTCTCCTTTTCTTGAAGATAGGCACCACATTGGCCTTCTTCCAATCTTCAGGTACTTCATCTGAGCACCACGAGTTCTTAGAGATCCGTGCCAGTGGCTGGGCTATGATGCCTGCCAGCTCCTTAAGTACCTTGGGGTGCAAACTGTCAGGACCAGCTGACTTGAAGGTGTCCAGCCTCTCAAGGTGTTCCTTTACAAGGTCTACACTGAAGCTGGGTATAAATTCACCCTCACCCTGGCCATCCCACATCATGTTAAGCAGGGTGGTCCCTTTGGGCTGGTGAAAAACAGATGCAAAATACCCATTAAGCAGGTTGGCTTTTTCCTCGGTGTTGGTTGTCAGTTGTCCCATTTGGGGCAGGGGTCCCAGCTGGGATCCAATGTTACCCTTGCTTTTCTTCCGACTCCCCACATATCTGAATAAAGACCTTTTATTGTCCTTGATATGTGTAGCCAGTTGGAGGCTGGTTGCAGCCTTGGCTTTCCTGGTTTGCTCCCTACAGGTCCGGACCAGTGCAGAATACTTCTCCTTAGTGGTGATTCCTGTCTTCCATCCTTTAGAAGCCTCTCTTTTTAGATGCAGGAGATCTATGAGTTCCCTGCTGAGCCAAGGGAGTTGCTGTGCCCTTTTGCTACCTTTCCTCTGAGATGGGATGGACATCCTTTGTGCTTTCAGGATCACTCTCTTAAAGAGCAACCACTCATCTTGAACTCCCCTCCCTATCGAGTCATGGTCCCTTAGGGCCTCAACAACAAGCCTCCTGAGTTTATTAAAGTCAGCTTTTCTAAAGTTGAGGACTTCTGCATTGCTGACTGACTTGCCAGCTTTGCAATGGATAGTGCAAGTGATCAGCTTGTGGTCACCGTCTCCTAGCTTTCCTTCCATTTTTAGGTTGCTGACTAGATCATCCCCTTTGGCCAGTACCAGGTTTCAGCAGCACTTTACTTCTTATCAGTGCATAGATTTCTTGAGTCAGATAGAGCACGTCCATACACGTGAGGAAGCTTTGAGGAAGTTGAGGTTTGTCAAGGACAGGTTTCTGTGTTGGGAATTGAGACAATTTTGCTTTGTAAGTTTAACACCAATTCCAAATGTTGAACTCAGCCCTTCTTCCTGC